GCGCGGTGGCGCGCCAGTCGCGTCGCACGGAGCCGTATATGTAGAGAGTTTGGCCATTCGTTAGGAAGTATACGATAAGCAATCATAAAAAAATGCTTCAGTCTCTTCTGCAAGATTCGAACTCACCAGCTTCAGATTGTGGGCCAAGGACTTTGGCGACGTAGCTATCCATGGTCGGTGCTATGACCCACGCAAAAGCGAGCTCATTTGCCAGGCCTTTAGTGTCATGTAGCGCCATCACACGGCGTTTATTAGAAGTGAAACCTAATCTTAGGTAGGCGGTGCCGCTCAGACGCCCGTCTCTTTTTCAAGTCTATCGCACACTTTGTACTGACCTGTCTTTCTCAACATAATTGAGCATTTATAACCTATTTATTTCAGAACTCGAACTTTCTTTAGATCCCGTTCTACCCTTGCTGCCGGAGGAATCACAGGCCCAACTCAAGACTGACGTGGCGGACATCATTAACAAGATGTGGACTGAGAAACCAGCTGGGGATCCACAGCTTGTGACGGACATGTTCGTGGTTCACGCGAGCAAAATATAAAATAAAAAGATTTTTAACGAAGTTTTTTTTTTGTTTTGTAACGGGTGCTCAATATTTATTTTTATGTTCATATACCGAACAAGTGGTTTCGTATTCTAGCACAGGAGTAACCGCTGGAATAAAGATTAATGCAGGTAAGTCCCGCCAGCCGATAACTCCGTGAGGTGGCTCATACACCCGCCGTAAGTCGACTTAATTTTACAATACGGATGTTTGTAGATCAATCCCATAACTCTGATAACCATGCACAATACTTCGCCAGCACCTTTACGTATGTATTGTATCTGTATCGGGTATTGTTATAAAATGTATCAGGATAATGTACTTAAAATTCCTAGTACAGATTTTTATATATCACTTTTCGGAATTTCGATAGCGATACACAAAACATTGAAGAGCGTCTTGACGCGTTTATTGTATTCTTATTCGATGTCGTTATTGGAGATATTATAACGCCATAATAGGAAGTTTTAGTTTATAATTTTGGGGATTCCGAGAACGACATTCGATATTCCGTCAACACATTGCTATTGGTTCGGAGCGCAAAAACGCCCCATTAAAACTTTCTTCTAACTTGTACTCCTCTCGCGCAGAAAAAAGCATTGTCATTTTTTGCAAACGATATTCATTTTTATGTTAATTGTGTATTCAGCATGACATTCGCTTTTAAATGGGTTCGGGGGAACCTATAGTTGCCCTCGCACCATCTGTGTGACACCGACAGCAGAGACGCAGTGAACAACGGCAACGTGAAATTGTAATAGGAAAATACAAACTGTTATTTGCACGTGTCACTAGGTGTTGAATTCTTATTTTGCGGCATTAAAAGGCATTGCACAAGGCAATTTCAAAGGATTATTTCTGTACTTTAATATACATATAAAAAAGAGAAAAAAAGTGTGTGGTGTGTATGTTTATACAGCCTGAAGTTTGCTGATAGATGACCAATTTAGTCAATGCAGTGCATACAACCACTAGCATAAATGTTTTTTTTTTTTTTTTTTAACGTGCATTAGGCAATATTGATACACGACCGCACTCAAATGTGATGCTCATCCAGATCGAAACGGGTGGAAATGGGGATTGAGCCCAGAATCCCTGCATGGGTTCTGCAGCGCGATCTTTCGCTCAACCTACTCCGAGCTGGTGTGCGCTAACCCACTTGGCCAACGAACCCCCAAGAAAGAGTAATGTTTGTTCTTACAAGTGTCCAATCCAAATTGAATATTTTTTACCCAACATTCTGAAGGCATTTGGATACCGCAGGCAACATTTTACTTGGAGCTCTGTCCCATAGCGTATATGGCTTATACGGGAGCTCTGTCCCATAGCGTATATGGCTCACAATATGTAACTCTAAATGGCGTTAATTCATCCCTGACTGATGTTGTATCGGGCGTACCCCAAGGTTCAGTTTTAGGCCCGCTTCTTTTTCTAATATTCAATAATGATTTACCAAGTTGTGTTTCTTCCTCTATGCATTTATATGCAGATGACTGTGTAATTTATCGGGAAGTTCATGATGATGATGACGTACGCATTTTGCAATCTGATTTAAATAATATTACTCTTTGGTGCAAAAAATGGCGTATGGAATTAAACCCTAACAAATGCAAACTAATGCGCGTTTCCCGGCAAGGCGCACGCCCTTCAAAATATACACTAACCGACATTCAACTTGAATCTGTAAACTCATACCGTTATCTGGGTGTTACTATATCGTCGACATTAACCTGGAAGCCTCATATTGATATAATAATCGCCAACGCTAACCGCATGTTAGGATACTTACGACGAAACTTCAGAACGGCCCCAGTTAACTTAAAACTTCTTCTTTATAACACTCTTGTACGGTCAAAATTGGAATACGCAGCCTCTATTTGGGATCCTAACCACACGTTTCTGCATAAAGCTCTCGAACTAGTTCAAAATAACGCCGTTCGTTTCATTCTGTCTAATTATAATCGAACAGCTAGCATATCATCAATGAAATCCAGTTTATTGTTACCCTCTTTGTCATTGCGCAGAAAGTTTTTTCGACTTTGCCTGTTTCATAAAGTGTATCATCATCAGTCGCTGCGAGACCATTTCTTTACATTGCCTAGCTATTACTCTTCCCGTCTGGACCATCGGAATAAAGTTGGATTAACACGTTGCCAAACAAACACTTTTTTTTATTCATTTATCCCGCATACATCAAACGACTGGAACCACCTTCCAGCAGATATCGCAACTATACCTGATTATTCTCTTTTTCGCCAATCTTTGTCTACATTTCTGTTTGGTGAGCCAACATGAGTCATTTTATTTTGTTTTTTTTTCCGTAAAATATATTGCTTGCCGCTTTTGCCAATGGCTGTGAGTTTTTGATATTTCAATTTCTTTTTGTTTGTTTTTTATTGTTTTGTCAGTTTGTTTTATTTTGCTTTGCCCCTCCCCTCTACAATGCTTCGGCGCTTGAGGGTATGTACAATAAATAAATAAATAAATAACTTATAAAGCATTCAAAGCAATGAAAAAATAAAATTATGAACATTTTAATGTTATTATTTGTCGTCAAGTGACGCGAATTAGCAAAAAACTGCGTTATTACAACCGACTAACCACCTCCACAGTATAAACTCTCCGTATTACTAGTACTACGCTTTAGTAATATTGATATTTTGAACATTTAAACTACGTTGCTTTTTTTAATAATGCGGTACAAAAATGTCTTGCTATTAAATGCCCTATTAATTAGCTTAACCATTGTCTTAGCGGTTAAAGACTACAAAATATTGCGGGGGGAAGAACCTTAAAACCTTTCACGTCATATGAGAGTTACATGACGTCATGGTGTCGCGTGACGTAATAATCGCACGTGTCGTCACGTTACGTCACATGACATCATGACGTCACGTGAAATCATGACATCATGACTAGAAGAAGTTTTCTACCGTCGAAACATCGCTTTGCTTTCCTATGGAACACCAATTTTACGCTGCAGTGAAAGAAATGTTTGGTGGTCCGCTCGCTGACCAACGAAAACGATTTCCTTTCGTCCGCCATTTTGCCTGACCAGCGCGCCCCCTATAGATCGCTGAAGTCGCGAATAGCTCTTTTTGTTTTATTATGACGTAGTTTATAACAAGAAAACATTTTTCAATTATTCTGCATCTTACGATATAATTATATTTATAGTGAATCTTTCTTCTACGCTATTTTCAGCGATTGGGGGATTGGAGAATTCATTTTTCGTTCTCAAAAAGACTAGTAAAAACAAATGCAGTTGTTTGGTAAAATCGTTTAAATAATATACACATATGATTTCTATTTGATTTAGACTTAATGAATAAAACTATTTATTATTTTAAAAATTATAACTTCCTTATTTGTTTCAGAAACGTCTCTTCAAAAGCGATCCTGGCGTTTCATTTTGCAGTCATCTATTGCCAGACTTGAACGCTACTCATTACAAGTAATCAAATTACTTGTAATTGATTACTTTTTGAAGTAATTTTGTATTCATTTGATTACTTTTGTTTTGTAGTAATCACAAGAGTAATTTGATTACTTTTGAAAGTAATGGAATTACTTGTAATCATTACTTTTTTCCTAACCCCCCCCCCCCCCCCCCTCCCCTCGGCCAACCTAGTCACGACTCGAGACACGAGACGTCTCCACTTTATCAGCTTCTAAGCTTTTGGAATCCGAGAGAATAAAGGCATTGTTGTCGAGCTCTACGAAAGGAGGTCATGCTTTTTGTTTGGACTGTTCGCAGTGTGGTTTGTTGGAACTTGGATTTCGACTCGGTCTGTCAGGTTCGGATTCTCGACAAAAGCCTTTCAGTGCGAAGTTCGATGGTTAATATAGAATGTTTGTCTCCATTAACTCTTCATACAGTCCACCCCTCTTATATATTAAAAAAAGAACTCTAAATCCTGGTCAAAGCACCTCTACACTCTTCTGCCTCCAAGAAAACCAAAGCCATGTAATGTAAATGCTAAGGTGTGACTATAAATGTGAGCTCTAAGAATTCATATCCTTTGGCAGAAGTGACAGCCGCTGCCGGATCATTATCTTAGTGGAAAACTCTAGGAAAGAAAAGGCGCCACACGGAAGAAAAGGGGAGAAGCTGCTTCTTTGTACTAACTTAGAGCAATAAGCCACAAAGAGCGCAAAAGCGATATCTCCGGAGCTGGATATAGGTCACCGTAGCTCAGTGGAACTAACAGGATCTAGCGTCCTTAGCACGCACTTCAAGAAATATTCGAGCTCGCTCTACCACACCCATGCATTATTACACCCAAAAAGCCTGAATACGGGAATCCGGAAAGGGTGGATTGAGATTATGAGTAGTCCAGCGCTTCTGTTACAACCAAGGAGGGATGAAGGCGTTCCCGGGTGAATAGCTCGGAACTTAGAAATTTTACGGCTATAAAACACGATGTTTCAGTCGTGTTTTATACAGAGATGGCTCATGCTGGGGAGGTCGGTGACGCCGTGTCTCCGTGGCCGCAGCTGGCAAGCTTGTTTGTGCTGAAGGAAAAGCGAGGTGATGGCAACCTCACATTTCAGTGTTTACTTTGTAAGCCTAAAGAAAAGCTCCTGTCTTGTTCCATGGTGACGAACTCGAACCTGCGAAAGCACGTAAAGGTATGTTTTATTAGCCGTGCATGTCCGCAGTATGTGTGTGTGTATTTTTTTTTTTGTTTTTTTTTTTTTTTAATTTATTTAATAATCACAATCGTTCTTTTAGAGTCAACACCCCGGGAATCTGGCTGACTTTGGAAACTCTTCGCGGAAACGGAAGCTGTCTGAAGCTGCTTCGACGTCCACGCCGAAACAACTTACCCTCAACTTTGCAAGCGGGCGGGTGCCTCAAAAGCAGCTGGACAGCCTGATTGTGAATTTTGTTGTAGATTCCCTTCAACCTTTCTCTGTCGTCGAGGCTCCCAGTTTCGTTAAACTTGTGGATACCTTGGCCCCTGAAAACACGGTACCAACACGGAGAACGCTGATGGCGAGAATCGACGATCGGTACGAAGAGATGAAGACAGGCCTGCGGAAAGCTTTCGACGAGGTTCCTTACGTCACTGTGACCGCCGACTGCTGGACATTGTTCCGACGGTAAGCCTCTTTAAGATAACATCGTGTATTCCTTGTACGTTCTTGTCGCATATCCAGAATGTTCGTTTCAAAGCTATATGCGTGGGTTTGTATTTGCTGGTCTCTGTATTTAAATATAAAAGTCTCCTCATGGAAGCTTTTTGTCCGGCGTCCTCGGCACAGTGCGGCTGAAATAAATTCAATTCAATTCAATTATTCTCACTTTAAAAAAAATACCAAGAAGGTGAGTTGTCGCGGAAACTTTTTTTTTATTAAATTCAGTGATATAAAAGCGCTGATACTGCTAAAATACGTAACTAGTTTAAGAGACATAATATGACCTTAATGTTCAGACAATACCAGTATTGTCTACTGGCGATTAAGCTGGCGGGTTCTTGTTTTCGCAGTACAGTTTATACAAAATATTTGTTTGTTTTTTTCGCAGGTGCTATCTGGCAGCGACAGTTTCTTGGCTCGAGCCGGCTTCCCTGAAGAGGAACTCTGCAGTACTGATCTGCCAAAGAATGACGGGCAGCGTCACGCACGACAAGATTGCAGACCTTCTTCTGGAGGTTTTCAAGGAGTACGGCCTTCAAGGAAAAGTCACCAAGGTTGTGACCGACAATGGATCCAATTTTGTAAAAGCCTTCAGGTAACATTTGCCGCATACAGTAATAGCGGCCTGTTATTTATTGATCAAAATTAATGATAGAATTGCAAAAGCGCTTGCTTAGCACATCAGAACAATTCCACGCATATACCTGATCATGACAACAAGCAGACCCACTTTGTTAATCCAATATAGCGTTCAAATTCCACCAGCAAAGTGTATCCGCTTGTTGTCGTGGTTCAAACGTTCAAAAAGTAAACGCAGGTTGTTCTTTTGGGTAACTATTATTTTCTTCATTTATAACACAGGGTGTTTGGCGAGCCTGTTCAGCCTGACGACCTAGAGCCTTCGGAGCAGGACGATGAAGGCCTGGAGTTCGTGGAGGTAGCACCCCTGCTTGAAAACGTGGACCAAGGAGAGGCCCGACTCCCCCCTCACCATAGATGTGCTGCGCACACCCTAAATTTGGTGGCTACGACCGACACCGGAGCAGCGGAGCGTCACGAGATCTTCTCGAGACCTTTTCGCTCCGTTTTGCGGACATGCCGCGCCTTGTGGAATAAGCAGGGACAGTCGGCGGTTGCTGCCGAGACCATCCGACGCTTCTGTGGGAAGGCATTAATAAGGCCCGTAGCAACGCGGTGGAACTCTCTCTACGATGCGCTAGAGTGCGTGCACAAGTTGGATGCTGAGGGCAAAGACTTCGACGGGTTATGCAGTCCTTACAAGTTCCTCCCTTCCAGCGTCCACGTGACCTACTCTTCATAGAAGAGTACTGTAAGGTGAGAGTGCCATATCTGTTATTTCTACGTTTCACAAAAGGAGGTTGAATTTATGACGAGGGATCTGCGTATCAATACCGTAAACAAAACATCCATACTGTTAACCTTCCCCTCTATTGCATTTGCAGGTCATGAAGCCCCTCGCCTGTGCGATTGACGTGGTTCAAAGAGAAGAACACATGTTCATGGGGTACCTGCTGCCAACGATCACGGTACTCCAGCAGCGGCTCAGCCATCTTCTCCAGGCGGGCCTGGCTTTCTCCGCGCCGCTTGTGAATGCTCTGCTTGATGGAATCCAGAACCGGTAAGTTTCTGAAGAAGCATAATCTGCTTCCACTTTTTGCGGGACGGAACTGTGTTAACCTATCAGATGCGAGACTTTCTATTTACAGGTTTGGTCCCCTGATCAACGACCGGGAGCTGTTGCTAGCAGCCATTGCGCTCCCCCGGTTTAAAGTCGTCTGGGTTCTTGGCGAAGCCAAGCGGCAGGAGCTAGCTCAGCTGCTAACGGACGAGCTGCACCGCCCATGCTACGGAGGATCGCCCACCGGCGGACAGGAACCTCCCGCTGACTGCGGAGGTTCCCCTGTTGACGATTTCTTCGCTTTTTCGGCGCCAAGATCGACCCGGGACAGTGGGGAAGTCTCACGCTACCTCAGCTCTTCGGACAGTTCGACGGAAATGCTGAAGGAGTACCCCCGCCTACAAAAAGTGTTCATTAGGTTTAACACTGCCCTGCCATCTAGCGCGCCTGTGGAGAGGGTGTTTAGCGTAGCAGCGGACATCCTGACCCGAAAACGCGGGAAAATGAGCGACTGCAACTTCGAGCGTCAGCTTCTGCTTAAATTAAACAAGACATAAGAAGTGTCTGTGGCATCTAAAATGAAATAAACGTCTTCCTAATATACACGTGCCTTTGTCTTCATATGATGTGCCTCAAAGTAGCTGATTTTTATTCCGTTTCTCATTGTTCCGAGTGCTCACGGTGCGAAGCTTTGTGAGCACTCGGAAAAGTAACGAAAAAGTAATCGGAAAAGTAACGATTACTTTTTCAAGTAATGCCCAATTACTTTTTCTGGAAAGTAATCTAGTAATCTAATTGAATACTTTTATACCAAGAGTAATTGTAATTGTAATCGATTACGTTTTTCGAGTAACGTGTACAAGACTGGTGAGAGGGAGGTCTTGCAGTGGTTTGAAGCCACTCAAGCGAAGCCAGCGCTGCTAATGCACAGTGAAAAGAAGCAACTGATCGCGGCTGGAACCCTGCTCTATGACAACAGCTTGTGCAAACGCCTTCTGTTCGAGGTGCGAGGGGGCGCTCTAAAGAACTTTGGTATTGGGCAGGAGATCGAACTATTAGCGGCGAGATGTTTCGGTGGCGCCCTCGTATGGTAACCTTTCGTGACGTCATTCCCTTGCGAACAACAAGTTTGATGGTGCTTGTAATTAGCATGGCGGAAGCTTGAAATCGTAGTGTTCTTGAACCAACACTGTCAACACCGTCAAAATTGAAGTCCTCACGTTCCTCTTATTTCCGTCCATGAGAACTCCTTTGCTGACGTCATAGTCAGCAATCGGCCAATTATGGAAGGCCGACCACCGCGACGCTTTCGATCGCGCACGTCGCTAATAGGGCTTGTTGTCCCCACAGCCCGGTGTTTACTAACACAGAATAACAAAGAAATTAAACCTCGCCATGCACGGTCTGAGCACGAGCGCTTCACTCTTACCAGTGCTTTGGTTGCACGAGGAGCGGACATTCGAATCATCACCATCGATATCGCTGATCAAAAACAAACAAGAAAATTCGGTTTGTTGTTAGTTTTGTTGTTGAGCGGTTTGACGCCAAGGTGGTTTCGACGATGTGCCGCGCGTGCAGAGGAGAACCTGAGACAGTTGAACACCTATAGAGAGTATTCACTGGCGGCCATATCTGTGTGCGCGGCCGCTGAGCGCGTGCTGACGGCGAGCTTCCACAGTCCTTTTGGAGCGTGTTTTTAGCACCATCAAGGTTGCCGGTCTTAGCAGGCTATTAATGTGAGCTCGTTCTGAGCATGACTTTATCAAGAAATCGTGATGTATCCCATTCCTTTAATTAATAGGTTTTCTCACTCACTCATGCGCTCTAAACATCGCCCTCAAATATGGCGTCCAGTGAATACCTCCTATTGGCGACGTGAGCGATCGAAAGCGTCGCTGTAGCCGGCCCACCACAATTGGCCTAATGCTGATTATGACGTCAGCAAAGGATCTCTCATCGTCGGAAATAAGAGGGATGTAAGAGCTTCAATTTTGACGGTGTTGGCAGTGCTGCTTTGAAAGCGCTATGATTTCAGGCTTCCACCTGCTCATTACAAACACCATTGAACTTGTTGTTCACAAGGTAATGACGTCACGAAAGGGAACCAAACGAGGGCGCACCCGAAACATCTCGCCACTAATAGACGCTTTACACACGCGCCAGAATACAGCCGCCATTGGTGACCTTCTCTTGTTTTACCGAGATACCGAGGCACTGAAATTGGTGTGGACGAGCCTCCACAAAAGCCAATGCTGGGGAGAAAGATAGAATAAAACCTAAGATTTCAATAACCTAGCCTGCTATCGTAATAATGAAGTGAAGTAAACGTAATAAGGGGAAACAAAAATTAAAGGTCAGTTATGGCGGTGCCCATGCACAGCTGCTGCAAAGCGTCTATAGTGCTCTACTGTGAGTGCCTGCTGCTAGAGTTCCTGTATAGGCTCCCTACGGAAGCCAGAGTTGCGCGTCTGTTTTCCTCGTGCCGCCGCGCCGCTATTCGCCGAGATCCGATCACGTGAGGAGCCGGATCAAGTGCCGTGCAGGAAAGTAGACGTTGCACGCGCCACGGCGTAGGTTCCCCTGCTTTTGAGCGCGCCGCGCGCCTTGAACGCGCGGCGCAGATATTCGCCGAATTCAGTCACGTGACGAGCGGGATCAACATGCCGTGCAGAAAAGACGGCGCTACGGAGATGAACGCGCAACTCTGGCTCCCATAAGGAGCCTATACAGGAACTCTACCTGCTGCCAACCCCCCTGGTAGATCGCCGGCTTCATACAGAGCCGATGTTAGCATGTGCACTGGGTTTTAAAACGACGGCTGGCACAGACAACCTATATACGGGAGCAGCAGACGACCCTCCACAAGACAGTCATGATTTTTCTACCATGCAGTGCGAGCGAAGGACGAAAGCGTGCCCGGAACACTGGTGGAAGAAAAATTAGAACAAATAGCTTATACAGTTTTTTTGGGCTAGAACACGAATACTCTTCGAGCTCGCTGGTATAAAGGGAAAAGCCGCATCATCATCATCATTTGTGTTGACATTAAGGCTGTTAAGGAAACGTATACCCTTAACAGCTCCACTGTAAAAAAGAAATTTATTTGGACGTGTAAGTGCCCCTTTAAAGTATTTTGCGAGTGCTTGGAAGAGATTCTGAAAACTAGGCTGGTTCAGAAAATAACAAAGTATTTTGTGGAACAAACTGCCAGCCATTACGGACGTCAAAAATTAAAAAAAAAAAAACTAATTAGTAATTTTACTCCCTCATAGAAACTAATTAAAATTTTAATTAGTGAAAATAAACGTTTTATTCTAGTTAGGAACGCTATGAGCGTCATCAAGATCCTCAAAATCTGTCAACTTCCGAACGAATTCGTTGAGGCGCGGGGCTGCTCTAAAGTTACCGCTCCTGAAGCAGGCGCAAGGCCTGTGATGCGAAAACACGGATGATATCCTTATCGTTCGAGTTTTCACTTCGCCGGCCTTGTGCGTCCTGCACAAGTGGTAACTTTAGCGCGCACCCTTGATTCTCATGTGCTTCGTGTCGTCCCAAAATTAACTTATTTAGGGTTTTTCGCTGACGCTCAGCAAATCTCTAATTTGAAACATGTGTTTATTTTCGCTACTTGAAAAGTCAATTAATTAGTACAACTTAGGTAATTATAGTTTGCTGATGATGTTATTCCTGACGTCAACCGTGGTTTGTTCCTGAAAATAGTTTATTTTTTCTCACCCATACTGCTAGCAATTTTCGAAAGTATTCGCAGAAACGGGCCAGTATGTAAAAATAGGATACTACATTATACTCCGCTCATTTTCTCTAGATAGCGCGTCTACACCACCAAATGCTCCCCTAGCGGAGAGAACAGCTCGTTTCCGAGACAAAGCACGCGCGAGTCGCGCTGCTTTCGAGGGAGAGGGTCACCGCCGACTCACCGAGACACCGGATTCGCCAAGAGAGCAGAGACAGCTGCCCCGCCGTTTCGAAGGTTGTCCACACGACGATAGATGGCGGCAGCCATGCCTCTCAGTTCAAAGGGGAAATCGCCGAAGCTGCGTACTTCCAGCTGTTCCTACTACGCAAAAGTTGTCGGCGCCAAGGCCATTGTAATTTCGCAGGGTGTGACGTACTCCCTATAACTCCGTTTCGCGTTAAATCCTACAGCAGTCGATGCCCCGATTTGAACCAGCCAATCAAGCAGAGCACCAAAAGTGCATCGTCACGGCGCTCATCATCTTTGTGCGCTTACTGTTACCGACTAAACCAATACCACACAGTGAACACGCCGCGTTCCTGTGTTTTCTTTGGTGCCTGCGCGTTTCGCTGACTCACGATATCGTCCCGCTCTATCAGCAGCGAACTTCGCTTCTTCCGCTCGCTCTTGGAGCCGACGTCGCACAGCCGTCGCTAAGGGTCGCGGACCAAACCGCACTTTTTGCTGGAAACTGGAGGCACTGGATGCAAGCACTATGCGAATAGCGAGTCGTCTGCTTTTTGCACAGGAGTTGCGGGGACCTCAGAAGGACGCCGAGCTCTGATCGGCTTTGATTGAAAGGATAGTGGGTAGAGCTCGATGCTAGATGCTTTGAAGTCTATACCACTTTTCTTTCCACAATCAGCTAATAAGGGCTTGACGTTGTGACACCGTCGCAGCCACTGTGCAAGAAGCAAAGGAACTTGCGCTCCACATACGCCTGTGGGCGGAGCCAATACTACTCAGAAGACACGGCATGCGTATGGCGCATCGTTTGTAGATCCCCCCGACCTGCCCCCAAGCGGCAAACACGCCAAAGCTCAATGAGAGGCGCCAGAAAGCTAGCAGACGAGCGTTCGTTTTTACGTCGCCGCTTGGAGAGACACTGCGAAACACGCTGGTGCCCTGGTGACTATGCTGACGCAGGCTACCTGGCGCTGCGTACATCCACTACAATGATGACGCATGGGAGGGGAGCAGCAGGTTTTATGTTGTTGGTGGTATGGGCAGAGCGTGCGCTCTACTCACGCTTGCAAGCTGCCTCGCTTCCAACGCTAGTCTGGCCACCCTAGACGGAATATGGTTTGTTTGGGCGCAACTCTGGCAACGGTCACGCAAGCAGCAAGGTGGCGGCGCCCAGAGGCAGTACTTGCAAACCTCGATATGCCACCACACCATCCACAAACAACAATGTACCCCCCCCCCCCCCCCAAAAAAAAAAAAAAAGAAATAGTGTTTTTTTTTTTGTTTTTTTTTTACAAAAAAAAAAGAAAATACGCATCGCCGAACGCTCATTCTCCGCCAAAATATAGCGCAAGCGGCCCGAATGAGACGCCAAAGGTTCTTGAGTACTAACTGTTATTTTATTAATAATCTAAAAGTGATGTTCCCAAATTTTCGCTATGAGAATGGTGGCCCGTTTTTTGCCCGTTTTCGCTAAGTGGCGCCATTCATCTCTCATATATTTGGAGAGCTTTGTCGGTCGACATTTTCCCATTGCGGATTTCAGAAAATTACGTACAAGTTTTGACTAATATAAGGATTAGTACTGAAACTTAGGTATCTGGTTCTTACCGCTATAGCGCTACATTTGGGGTGAGAGTGCATGCGATCGTCAATCCGTTCTTTTTACGATAAAGAAAAAAAAAACGATCATAATCCTGTAACTTTTCTTTTGGGACACCCTGCAACAGTTCGCAACAAACAATATACACCAAGAACAAACAAACTCGCGTCTGCTCACACCAACTGGGGGCATTGCGCGTGCGCAGAACCCAGATTCGCATGAGATGAATCGACTACGCGCGTGCCCAGTGTTGATAGCAGCGCCACCCCGGTGTCGTGACGTCAATTAAGGGTCGAGTAAGGTGGAGAAAACATTGTTAAATAGATCGGCCGTAAACTTGGACGTGATGGTGTGGTATCAATAGTTGTTTAACGGAATCAGTTCTTAAACCGTTGTTTTGTGTGTGTGTGTTTTTGTTTTCTCTTCCAAAATGTTAAGGACTCATGAAGTGTCCAGCGACCACGAAGTTGTTGCCTCCTGCCTACCTATATCATCGATTATTGCGTTCCGGTTTTACCTGCATGACATCACCTCCGGAGCGAAAACTGTCCTTTTATCGAAATCTATGAATACAGACGAAATGGCTGATGCAATGAAAAAATACAAGGTATGACGACACGGACATTATATTTTCATACGCCAACAGGGTTGCGCGATACTGTGTCACGCGATTTCTTAGGCGGTAGTACCTCACCAGCAAAGAGTAAAAAGTTTGTATATTAAAAAAAAAGTAATGTCATTCTAAAACTTACATCTCCCAAAAAAGAAAATAAGTATTCAAAATAACACTGAGTTGAACAATTTAAAATTCGAGCAATGAGGGAAGACACGGATCTGACTAAATTTAAGGTGATTTAAATAGATTCATTTATAATATTTTCTAAACGGATGCACACCTTTTTGGCAACTTCCCGATTTCCCTCATCTGGGCACCTCGTTGCCAAAACGCTTTACGGTTTATCCGAAATGCCAGGTGGTGAACTTACCTACGCACCATATGCGGGAATCTGTGAGCTAACTCTCACAAGTAATTTAGTCTTGTTTTCCGCTCCATAAAACATCGCTGCCATCAGCGTCGCACATGGACGGCAATGCGATCATAATGTGTTCTAAAATCGCAGGCATGTTCATGAAACATCGTTGAAGATAAGATATGAAACGTGTGTTGATGAGTCTTTCATCGGTGCAAAGCGACGCCGAGTCTCCCAGGCCTAGAGGTTTTTATTAGCATATACATTATTTAACATGAAGTGATCAACAAACAGCAGCCTTGTAGTCACTTTATGTAATAAATTGTGTCTATTAATGAGAGACTATCTTTATAATTATCGGTTGTTGTAAATTATAAGAAAATTTACCTGTTTAAAAGTAAATTAAACATTACAACTGTGTCAATTGGGCTGGATGTTAAAACAGAAGGCAAAACACAGACAACCCGCAGCAACCAGAAGTGGCAACCTGCAGCCGCCATCTAGTTTGTTGTTTACCTTGAAAATGGGTGTATAGTAAACATTTTAATTAAATAGACAAAAAAAAAAGTCCCGTCATTTTCCATAAATCGTTACCTTAATCAATCCTGAGTTATAAAACCCAGATCAGCAGAACGTTTTTGCTTTAATAGTTTATTCTAGGTGTTCCAGGCGTAACACACTAAAAGCGTTACTGCAATACTCTTACGATGCCGGTGGACACCTAAATATAGAATTGTTTCAAACAAGCACATTTTACGTGCAGTTCTCACATGCACAAAAAAGGACTATACAGGCGTAATGAATCACTCTCGAAGGAGGAATCACGAGCTTGGTAGCTATTCCGCGGCCTTATGCCGGATGTCTCTGCGAATAAGCAACAGAAAATCCTGAAAATTGTGTGTTTGAGAAAAAAGAAAAGAAACAAAAAAAAAAACTGTTGGGAACAAACTTCCAGCCACGGCAAACCTCAGGATTTAAAGAAGAAAAACGCGCACGAATGAGCAAAATAATTACCTAAAAAGAACTACGTCTTAATGAGGGAAACCAAACATAGGTTCAATTAAAAACGTTCTGGGCGATATGGAAGACTCCTAAATCAATCCATTTTAGGAAGACTCGAAGCACGTGAGAAGCGCGAGGCTGCGCTCAAGTTCTTATTCGTGCAGCGGGCGGAAGGCTGGGGATACGAAAAAGCTGGCGACGCTTTCTCGTCGCCAGCTTTACCCCTTCTGCACGAGAAGGAACTTTAGCGCCACGTGATTTAAGTCTCACTGAAAATTGATCGAGTTAGGGGTCTTCGATGACGACAAGCAAGTTTCTAATTCGAACCATATGTTTACTTCCACCAATTAGACTCTCTTTTCCAGTCTTCTACACGATACTCGGAAAAATTAATCGACAACGATCACGACAACTTTTGGTTAAAATGTATTCAATTAGATCACTTGATTCCGAAATAAAGAAAGGAATTTACCGCTACTCTAAAAAGTGACCGTGCCTTCTCCGATTACATATGATCTTCCAATCGATATATTGTTCTCCTGGTTTAAAAACGGGTCTATCGTACTTTCTATTAATAGATTAGAATCACCGAACTAGAAACTACAGACCTTCTAAAACCGCCAATTTTGGAAGACTACACTTCTGCCGCAGACATGGTTTGAGGTTTCTTCGGTTGCAAACTTTTAGAAACAGAGAGCACCATTAGGAAAGGGAGAAGCAAGTAGTAATGGCTACAAGTAATGTTAGTACTTCCGAAAGAAGCCATATTACTTTCGCGATTGCTTCTTAATGTATCTAATCAAATTATTGCAAAACCATCCTAAATTGTAATTGATTACAAGTAAACTGATTACTTGTAATGTAAAACCATGCAAGTCTCTTTGTCCTTTTCTAATTCCTGTCGTTCGCCATGGCTTGCAGTTTGCTCCCGAAAAAAAAAAAAATCTTTTTTTTCTTACCTTCCCTATTTGTAGCGATTATTAAAGGGGCACTCAAGTGGATTTCGAGATCATCTAGTCTACAAAAATAAGTAACGGAAGAGCGTCGAGGCAGCAGAAAAGCGGGCGGCGATTCGGCGGCACTACAGAGCGCTAGCGAGACCGAGACTGACTCGACAAGGTCGCGGAAGCTGCTTATCTACCCTGCTTCACTATCTCAAACGTTCGGCAAAGAAGGTTCGAGCGTCGCGCGCTCGGGGCGAGGATGAACTGGCACTTTCGAGAACAAAAAAGCAGAAGGAAAGTTACGTCTGCTGCGAGAATGACCGGGAATCTTTTAGAAGACCGTGACCAAGCGTTGCCTTCTCGGCTCTGCGGGTCGCAATATATAAAACCCGAAAACGAACAACCCTAAATATATGCGGATACACGCCCCATGCATGTTGAAGCATGTTTGGTGCGATGCATACGCATGCTTCGACCATGCCCGTAGACAGTTTTTTCTATGAGCAACGTTAGAGTACAAGGACGAAAGACACCTTGGGCAGTGTTATGCAGCCTGTGTATTAGCAGTATGACCATGGGGCGCAAAACATTCTAATGTTATTAAAGTAGTGTGCGCCTAGACCTGCATGCTTACAATTCATTTCGCAGCCACGGAATGCGAGCTCTCTTCGGAATACAAATTGCGTAACCGGATGATTCGAATCCCTCTCCCTTCATCCTGGCGCAGGTGACTAGAGTGTTCGGGGCTCCATTCTGGATTCTGGAGCTTGCCAAGGCGCTTGAGAAGCGAGGAATTCAGCTGGATAGTCTAACGACTATTCTTCTGTGTGGCGCGAAGGCCACGCCCCAAATGTTGAGGCAAATCGAACGGTCGTTTGATCTGGCCATCGTCAAAGAAACTTACGGAGCTACGGAAGTCGCACGGATATGCAGACCCCCGTGGGGTGCCTCCCCTTGGTACGGCATTGGATTCCCGTCCCCGATGGTACAAGTTAAGGTGAATTTAATTCCATTTAGTGATGAGTACGAGAGGTGTGCGGATAGTCCAGTTTCAGCTCGCAACTATTGATATCGATTATCCCCTGTCGATATGCTGGCCACAATGGATTTTGGCTTGTCATCAGGTTGTTGATGTCAAGAGTGGAAAAGTGCTTGGACCAAACGAAAAAGGAGAAGTGTTAGTGAAGACGCCATGTTCCATGAAGGGCTATTACGGACATCCGGAAGCTACATCGCAGAAAATTACTCCCAATGGTTGGGTACGAACAGGTAGGGGATGGCGACTGTTCTTGTTAACAAGTCAGTCAAAAGTTGGTTTTCTCTTCGGCATTTCCCAAGGGCGTTCTGAAAGCCTGCCGTTTATAGGGTCTCTTAGCACTCCTCGTTTTGCTGCTATACAGTAAGGAGACCGCTGAACTGCACGTTGCAAGGGTTTTGGGAACATATAAAGGCCGTCATTGTCACGTGCCACTGCCACGTCATTTGACGTCATGGTGCTACGGGACATCACGGTGTCACGTCACAGTGTCAAGTAACACTACGGTGTGGCATTGGTGTCACGTGAGAGTTCAGAGAGTACCTATAAATGCAACGCATTCAGCGCACTTTTCTGATGGCGTCTCAGTGTCAGGTGACGCGCCGTGACGCCATCGAGGGGTGAATCCGCAGACACGAAAGCCCTAATGTTGCATTAGGCAGTTTTGGCCCAGCGTTGCCGTGCCGCATTGCTACCGTGAGCTCGCGCGGTGACTTCGAAGCATGCTCCTTAACACGCGACTGGAGGCGTGCAGTGGCCATACTAGAACGTGGTGACGGTTTGCTAAAACTGCCTATTCACACTGGTGGTTGAATCGCATTCGCGAGGTAGTTGCCAACGCTTAAAACCCCGCCACATTAAGGCATCGCTTTAGAAAGTTCAGGCGCATTTTTTTAGAAAAACAAGCGGATCTGCTTCGCGGTTTCTATTTGAACAAGAAAAATGGAACTGTCATATATTAAAACCAAATTAGTAGCGTCAAACGATATGATCTCTTCTACTTTAACCATCACAATTAATATTGAACGATTTTCTCGTTCAGATCTCATTATGGCAACCGAATTCTTTAATGTTCGGTTCCTCGGCCTTTAAACCAGATTAGAAACACTAATATATAGATCTGGCTAAAATTTCTCAAGAAAAACACGCTCAAGTTTTTGTTTTTTTTTACAAAATTTATTATATTTTGACTATTTTGAAGAGCGTAATTGAACGTTTTCTTTTCTTGATGTTTTTCTGGCGCGGTTGTTCTTTTAGCGATTTTTGAAGTTGCTTTGCCTAATGTATAAATGCGTATTTTAAAACGCGTTCTTTTTCTTTTTTTAAGCCTAATTTGTTTGCGTACCAAATGCGTATAGGTCTGAAAACTCAAACTTCAATTTGAAGTTTCTTTTTTTTTTCCCCTAATTCTCCCATCGTTTGTTTGAATGTAAATTACGCATTATATTATTATTATTTATTATTATTATTATTAACTCTTATGTACTGAAAAGTAAAATATATTACTGCTGCAAACAAGCTCCTTGGCGGCTGCATAGCATACTCATCCATGGCCTCTTTCCATGCACTCGCCTGAACGTCTACAAACATGGCTATTCTTCAAAACGTGCGATCGTTTATCATCTCTAGCAATATACGCGCGATAGAAATACCACCTAGAAAACAAGCTCTGCGCATGACGTCACCGTTAGTAATGGAACCCCGACCTGCCCCAAGCGGCAAACACGTCAAGCTCGACGGGAGACGACGCAAAGCGGCACACGCGTACGTCTTTGCGTCGCCGCGTGCTACGTCGCGCTCATTGTAAGGCGCTGCGAGTCGCGGTGGCGGCGACGCTGACGCGAGCTAGGTGACGCGGTGTCTGTCCAATGCAAAGCGCAAGTTCGTCTGCTTCCTGAGCAGGGGTTGCGGTGACGTTAAAAGGCCCAACTCTGATTTGCTCCGATTGGGAAAACAGTGGGTAGACATCAAGGCAGGTATGTGGAGCGCAAGTACTTCTGCTCCTTTTGCAGGGGTTCTGCAGACGTCAAAACACCGAGCTCTGATTGGCTCTGAATGAAGGCAAGGCCACTTGCTTTGAGGTCTACCCACTATCCTTCAGTCACAGCTAATCTGAATTCGGCGTCTTTCTGACGTTACCGCAACTCCTACACAAGAAGCTGACAACTTGCTCTGCGCATAAGAATGAGGTCTACCCACTATCCCTCCATCAGAGTCGATCAGAGCTCGGCAATCTGACGTCAGTGCAACCCCAGAGCGAGAAGCAGACCACCTCGCACTCAGCATAGTAATGACGTTTGGGGAGAAATAGCTTGTCTTGAAGGCTCGTCGCTCAAGCACCCATTACCGTGCCATTATGACCGCATGGCCAAAGAAAGATTGTCTCAGAGTATGTGAAAGGTTTTCGCGCATTCTCGTCCTTTCTCATTAGGATATTTCGAGCCCTTGTCAAGTGTGCAGTTAATATTCCGAGAGCGTCCATCTACTATTTAGTTATTTAGCTTTACTTTAAACCAGCTCATGAACTGAACTTTCAGCTAGATATGACGACTACACGCTAATTTGCAGGTGACATCTGCTATTACAACGAAGACGGTCAATTCTTCTATGTCGAAAGAATGAGCCAGTTCTTTAAATGCATGAACATCCACGTGGCACCCTGCTTCATTGAAAGCGTGTTGCTCAGCCACGATGGAGTTGAAGAGGCAGCGGTCATTGGTGTCCCCCATCCACAATATCATGAAGCGGCCTTGGCGTTTGTCGTGTTGAAGAAATCTTGTGGCACAATCACCGAGGCAGAGCTCCAAAACTTCGTTGCAGGTAAATCTCGATCTTGACATTTCTTTTATTCGTGTTATTTATATTGCACTATGAGCATATTTTAGACATAAGAAGTTGAGAATCACACAGAACAAAATTCAATGCAAAATTAAGTAGAAATACCTTAGCAGTTCGGGGTTTCTTTTTTGATTGGAAGCCTCTGATATCGACAATGCTTCCCTCTAAACTTTCTCCACGTAATATTTTTATGAACAATGGGGTGTCGACAAATCAAAATACTTACTTCAACCTCACTTGTTCCTTACAGACAGGATCAATAAAAAAAAAATCAGGGATCTTACTCATCTAATGCAGGCATCTTCAAAAACTCTTGGTATGCGAACGAAAAAAAAGACAAGGGACACACAAATACTATCTATGTCCAAAAACTAGATTTTAAACACCACTCAGAGCTAGATTGAGCTAACAAAGATGCAGCCTCGTCGCTAAAATAAACAAAAAAGTAATCCTGACAATGTTAATGCGAGGGAGTTATGAAGCTACTCATAGATTTTTGGCCATGTATGTCGCTAGTCAATGTTCCGCTAAATATAGCGGAAAATTTACATCACGTGACCTACGCCCCTATTCAGGTTCCCGGTAAAGCTAGCGAAATCAAGTTTCTGTGCTAAATATAGCGAAAAATTGGTCTCACGTGATATATGCACTAATTCAGTTTCCCCGCTAAATTCAGCGGAAAACTGACTTTATGTCACCAATGCACTAATTTAGTTTTCCCGCTAAATTTGACGGGATCAGGTTCCCCGCTTAAATAGGCGGAAAATTGACTTCACGTGACCTACGTACCAATTTAGGTTCCTCGCTAAATTTAGTGGAATCAAGTTCCCCACTAAATTTAGAGGGAAACTGAATACTCGACGTATGCCGCCAGTAAGGTTCCCCTCCAAATTTAGCGGAAAAAAAAACTTCACGTGGTTTTTGCACCAATTCAAGTTGCGCCCTAAATTTAGCGGGGAAGCGAACTTCTGTCCGTGTGAGTATGGTGCCTGGATCGCGTCTTCGACTGGTGTGTTTAGCGTCCTATCCCGCCCATGCATCAAAAGTGGTCCCAATGTGGCAACAAATGACGCGAGTGTCATGCTGTTGCCTGTCGCGATCCTTGCGGTTGGCCGTAGAAATGCTGGCGAAAAGCACGAGCGAACGCGAGTGTCGCTTTCGTCACGGCGTCCCTTTAGGCGTCCCAACTTCCGGTTGCTTGAGCTTCCGTGAACTGTCACAGTGGAAAGCGACCTGCAGAAGAACAGGCGTCTGCCATTTATACCACTACTGTTGGGGCGCCGCCAGGGTCGCAACAGGCGACAACATGACACTTGTATGACGTCATCAGGCGGAAATCGAGGGACCACTTTTTTGAACCCGGTAAACACACCAGTCGGAGACGCGTTCCAGGCACCATAGTGTGAGCAACGACAAATGCTGACGCATTTATAGATATTCACCCGCCTGGTCTCTACAAACTTGCCTCCACCATAATTCTTTTTTTTAGGTTTCATTTTTTTCAACCCAGATATAAAATTGGAGCATGATAAATGCATCACCTAAAGGCACCTTTCTAAAATGCCGTATTGCACCTAGTTTATTGGTTTAATTATACTGGAATTTTTAAGCACGAATATACTTAATCTGGGAACTACTTCAAGTGCATTCTACTTAAAATACTACTTCAAGTAGGTTTAGACGACTTGTCCTTTACTTGAAGTACATTCTCTGAGTGTGTGTACTCGTATTCTACTTAAAAGTATTATTTTCTAGTACTTTCCGCGGAAAGTTCAACTCCCGACTGCAAGACACATCGCCCAAATTTGAAGAAAAAATAAGCATATCGTCATCTGAAAACGCGCTGTCGTCTTTCGAGACGTCATCTGGTATTTTTTTTTAAAGTAATGACGTATTACAAGGTGATTCTGCAAAATAATTCGTCAGCGAGAGTAAATCAAGACTTAACGTTATCCAATATTGGCCGCCGTTTCAGTAAATAGCTGATGCACCTCGATTTACCTAATATATACCAGATGAAAAGAAAACATTATTGAGGGAATGAAATGGCATCATGAAAGATTGTGTTAAAAGGTACTTGATTTCATTTGAAAAGTACATTCTATTTATAGTATTTTACTTCCAGTACGTGGTGCCCAGTTGACTAACTATATTTCTTGAAGAACATGACCTGTAATTTACTTTATACATTAAGTACTTCTTAGGTGTACTTGACCCAACACTGCTTAAATCGCGTTCAGATATTTTTTTTAACGTTCTAATTAACGGCCATGTTTATTCATCGTTGTTCTAGAAAGTGTCAACTGTGTACATATTATGCTGATCTCTTCCATTTCTTCCCAGGCCAACTTGGAACCTACATGCACCTCCACGGGGGTGTGAAATTCGTTGACTCGATACCAAAGAACGCCAACGGTAAAGTAGTGAGGAAAAAACTGCAGATGCTTCATCAAGATGGATAATCTCACTCGTTGTGTTCTACAACATAACAAGGCTTCGGTCGGTTTTGCTAAAAAAAAAATATATTTATCGACCGCTGGTGATGGGAACTTTCTTTAGTGATTCGATATGCGTAGCGTAAGTTCGTCTGTATCTGCGCAGGGGTTGCCGTGACGTCAGAACGCGGAGCTCCGATTGGCTCTGGTGGAAGGATAAAGGGTATACCTCAATGTTAACCGCCTTGAGGCCTACCCACTAGCCTTTCAAACGGAGCCAATCAGAACTCGGCGATCTGACGTGACCGCAATCCTTGCGGAAGAAGCACACAGCATAGTTAGGAGTAGATTAAATATACTCAGGAAACAGCGGAACCCGGGTGAGGTCGAACAAAGGCGTTGTCTGAACTTGTCTTGATAGGATTGAGCGAGGAAAACAAAAACAAAAGATGCTTACAATTCTGTGTAATGCCAAATTAGAGCGCAGCTCTGGAGGAGGAGGAGGAAGCGACGGTACGGAGGGGAAGGTATGCCTCTCCTCCCCCTCCATAGCGGGAAGTTTAGCGTAAATTTTCCCGCTGAATTTAACCGCGGAAACTAGACCCGCTAAATTCAGCACGAAACTTCTCCCTAAATTTTCCGCTGAATTTAGAGGGGAAACTAAACCCGCAAAAATTAGCGGGATAACTTTCTCGTTGAGTTTAGCGGGGCGTCCCATAATGCAACGCGCGCGGTTACGCCTACGCCGACACAGACGCCGACGGCGGCGCCGCCTGACCACACGAGCGTGAACGGCGGCGTCGGTCTGCGCCCCGCCGCCTGGCGTCCCAACGCAAGGAGGCCACATTGGCCTCCGTTTCGCGGGCGCCCCGTGGCAGCACTGGCTCGCACGATCGCGCGCGCGCCTCCCGTCAAATTTTTTGCTCTTTCGTCGCCTGCTCTTCGCTAGATTTTTCCGTTTCGGCTCTCATCATTAGCAGATATCAGCATCGAAAGCAGACCCGTTGCATACGTGGTAGGTGCCCATGATGGCGTGGTGATCAGCGTGAATGTGATTATCCTAGCCTGCTCGTTGATCTTGAGACGCGCTTCTTGCAAATGGCATTTGTCTGTCATACCTTGTCAAAACAAAAGAACCATATTGCCGCGTGATATTCTTCAAACTACAATTAACTGTGCAAGAGAGGTAACTTTTGGCGTTGCCGTTCTGTGTTAATACGGTGCAGTCATCGACCGCGATGCGAATTTGTGGTGCTGAGAAAACCTGCCCTTGCTCCGGAGGAAGCCAGAACGACACCAGCCGCTGTCCGAATCATAACCGACCACCTAAACCTGCCGCCGCAATCAAGTGTTTTCGTAGTTCATACGACCCTGCAATCTAATGCGAACGGTTATCTGGTTTGGCATTATCTTATTTTATTTAAAGTTCAATCGGGACGATGAGCTTTTGGCGAAATGCCGCGTGCATGGCCGTGAGAAACGCTACCCGATACTTCGACAAGATGCGATTTCACAATTACGCCAAATGTTCGGCGCTCGAACATTTCAAGACAAGTGTTCGAGAGACCGGGTGTAATAGATAAGGAGGCCAACATGACCTTGCCGAGTCAGTCTCTCGAGTGTTCGACGCTCGAATATTCTAGGCCGGGTGTTCGAGATGCCAGTGTAGCTGATACGGGGCACAGCGTGGCCCTGCCGACTCACTCTCGCACTCTCGTGCTAGCCAGCTCTCACTCCGACCCCACGACGTCCAGCTTCGCCGATGCAAAGTCCCCGTCGTGAGAACCTCTCGCTTCTCGCCCTTTGGTTGGAGATCTAAGCGCAGCTTAACCCGTGGGGGTGGAGTTTCTGAACACCAACGACGAAAATAACCTCCATGGACGAAGAACGGCCCCCAATCTAAGCTCGCCAGGCATCGGAACGACGCTCCTTGAAAGGTGATGAACAGCCTCAACGTCATCGTCAACGGACACGACACATAGGCACTCGTGGACAGGGGTGCGGATCACTCCGTTGTGACTGGTAAACTTTCACGTCGTCTTCGGGTAGGTGCGATGCCGTGGGTTATCCCACAAATTCGAACCACCGGAGGACATCTGATTACGCCCGTCGGAAGGTGTACCGCGGGAGTCGAGATGCATGGTGAGATCCGTCCGTGAAATTTTTCATACGACAAGACTGTGAAAGAGACGTCATCCACGGGTGTACTTACTGTGTGAATACGGCGCAGTCATCGACCTCAGAGCGAACCGTTCGACGCTGCTAAAACCTGTCTTTGCTCCGGAAGAAGCCAGAACGACGCCAGTCGCTGCCCAAATCGACGATCAATGGAACCTTCCGCCTTGATCAAGTGTTTTCGTAGTTCAGACTACCCCGCAATCAACTGTGAACGCTTATTTTGTTTAGCTATGTCTTATTATACTTAAAGCTGCATCGGGACGATCCGCTTTTCAACGGGGGAGTAATGCCACGTGCATGGCCGAGAGGGAACGCTACTCCATACCTGCTTGCGATGGACTTAAACGCGGTCATATGCGAAATATAAGATAGCCACACTTTAGGAACACGTATCAAAGCTGTTGCAGTTCTTGTAAAGTACCAGAAAATTTGTATCTTAAAAATTTGTTTCTTTTCGGGTTAATGTGCATTGACTGCATAACTTTTGAAACAATGCAACTTCGTCTGAATATTTCAACCTACCTAGGCCCTCACAGGCATGAAGGATTTTGTCAATACGAAAGGTGTTCCTTTCGTCACTAAATTAAGTAAAAAAGGAGTCGGCCGGACCACTGTACGGTTGCAAAAAGTATTTTTAGAAAACGGTAAAAATATAAATACATATGTGCAGATGAACTAAAGTCCTACTCAGTTTTTGTTGGCTTGACCTCCAGTTGTCGTCACTGGTTTTGTCACCGTCCCGAAGCTCTGGCGCCTCAGCTGTTCACCTGCTTTGTCATCAAATCCAGGTGCTTTAACTGTGGCACTTGGATTCAACCTCTTGCGGGCACCTACCGATCTTAAAACGGCCTTGCCTCCGGCGCCTGCCAAAGGTGAAGATAGATGGACGGGTTCCTTCGAGTATGCCAAGACTTGCACCAACTAGTAGCCGGTGAATTGTCATCCCAGCTTCTCGTCTTCGGGCCTCCCGTGTCGCCGCCGAGAATTCCCGCAAGTGCCTCGGGTCACTACTTAGTTTGTTCGGTCGTCGCTGGAACAGTCAACTGGATGATCCTTGGGGTCGTCTTGCACCGGACACACCAAACTCTGTCATTCAACCCTCGCCATTAGCTCCTCGCTCCCGGTTGGGTTGCCCTTCTTCTTCATCCGTCGATCCCCTTCATCAGGATTTAGTTGAATTAAAAATTTTGTGTCATGTTATGCACTCCGTTTACCGTTTCCCAGTCACATCACTTAGTAGCCCTAAAATAATCGCGTTGTGTGTTTAGAGCAGTGTGATGCAAAATACTCAACAGCAGTATTTAAGATAAGATAATAAATACTTATTTCAGAATGCATTTACAATAGTATTTAAGTTACTCTAAACGAACTGTCTCCAGTGGAGTAATTTGAGAACATACCATACTTTGAAACATAATTTGGAAAAGTAATTGAGTTACGTTCGAAAATACCCGGCAAGTATAGTTTGCGAGCTAGTGCTATAAGAATAAAAAAAAATCAAAATGGGGTGCTCTACTTGAGATGACTTCACTGCAAATCACATTCTGCTGGGATCTTCTGATCTTCATGACTTTCAAGAAGCGATCGACTTAACTGCTGCAATTGAAGTTTACTTTGAAAGAATTCGGTATATACAACACGATAGGTACCGAAAGATTTTAGGAACAAGCGGGACACACGTGTTGTAGGCATGGCAACTGGCGTGCTTTAGCTTGGCGGTCCGCTCGGCTCATGACGCATTCCGCAATAAGTTTGTAATATGCCTTAAAGCGATTTGGCGAACTTGACACGCAGTCCGGCATTGCATATCCCTAACAGCCAAATAGAAGTTGATCAGGCAGCCAGCCTTTGTTGATGAATACCCGTGAGAATAACAAACGTGCACGCATCGGCTAGAGGAAAACAGCCTCTGTCGCTGATCAACAACTAAGAGCGAGCGAGCGCCAGTACCTTCAAACGCTCAAAAAATATATCAGGAAAGTCAAGAGGGAAACACAAATGACGCAAGAGAGTGTACATGAAACCGCTTTCGATCCCTGGCTCCACCTGGTGGAAAACTAGGTTGGGGGATTCTGAGAATGAAACAATGTGCGCATTCGGAAGGAGACAAAAGAAACGCTTTTGAGCGAGCCCAGAGTTATACCACAATAGGCACACAAAGGCTTCCTCAAAGCCCAGTCTAGGTCACTGCTGTTCAATGAAACCAGCAGGATCAAGCTTCCTTGGCCGAGGTCGTGTTTGCGCTTACTTGAAAATGTGCTCGCGTATTTTGATATGAGAACCACCTGAACCGGCGATTTCCCAAAATGGTCAATTGTGTACCAAGCGTTGGCGTACATTCTTCCTCTGACGGAACCACTCTAGATTAAGACAAAAGTGTAAAATGCCGGTGACGCCGCAAACACTTCGATAGCTCAAACCGTAACGCGCCAATAAAGAAAAATTGAAAAAGAAAGGACACGAGGATGCCTAGGGCGTACTTCGGGCTATCTATATTATCCTTTGTTCACATTCGCACACTGCGTTTTGCTCGTGCCTTGTTTCCTGTCTTGCGTTTGATCGCTTGCCTCCAAGTTTGCAATCGGTTCAGCTTTGCCGTGGAGTGTGACGATCAGTTCCGCAGATCGTTCCGGCAACAGATATTTTCGCAGGTTGAAAAACGCATTTGAGATACTGAGTACAATATAGTAAAAAATGTAATTAAGATAGAGTAGCAAAAACTCTGAAAGAAATTTATTAGCTAGATTCCGAAATACTACCAAACGTATTTGAAATACAGTATATCGAATAGTGTATTTAAGATAGGCACAAGCCTGGTTCACACAGACAAAAGTTGGTCAGCCTCAGTG